CTTGATTTCCTAAGGGCTATTGGCCCAAATTACACGGTGTTGTCTAGGGAGGTTTGCTGTAGTTCTCTGAAGAAGCAGAGCAAGCCCTGTAGGCTAAACAAAGGTGCCTAACACTGCCCGAGAGAGCCACCTATAGCTAGGCATGGTCCTGATATTTTCCTGTGCTCCTCTTGACTCAGTCGTCAGACTCAGATGTGGAGAAAACAAATGTTGCATGTACAACTTCCTTAGAAATAAAGCAAAGCAGCAGGCAAGTTCAGGAGCCAAATGATTGCACAGTGACCTTGGGATTTGTGCTCCATGACTTAAGGAGGTTAATAATGTTACAGAAAAATCTTACTAGAGGAAAAACAAGCTCTTTTTTTGGCTTATCATCCGTGCTTTAAAAATAGTACTGCAAAGCAAGAAAACCTAACTTTCAAATAGGAAGTTATTCCTGTGCCATAGTCTAACAGGATAACTTACAAGGGAATTGCAGAATCGAAGAAAAACGTCTTTTTTCAAGCCTCCAGTTAAACCCAAGAACAAAGGGCATTTTAGGAAGGAAAAATAGTGATTAATAAAATAATGGTTCCTGCCCAGGAGTGGGAATAATTTAACTTGTCAGTAATGATCTTCCATTGAATTATCCTTTGAAGAGCAGAAGCAATAAATTACCATTTTAAAGAAGTGAGCCCTCATCACACAAATTACATCAATGGAGTTTCGGTTGTGGGTTCCCCCTTTCCCCTGTGGCCCACCATGCCAAAACACAGCTGTCAATAGCATTTAGCCACCACAGCCGGCTGCATTCTGCACTTTCACTGTAAGGGGAACAAAAGGGTCTCCCTTGTCTCCCCCCACCCTGCAGTCCTGCTCAGAGGCTGTGACATGGCCCTGGGTAACTCACAGAACATGCCTCTGAAGAGTGCTGCCAGACACACCCTTGGAGCTGCACCCAATTGAATGATTTCTCTGTTCTGGAAATGAGGGGGAAATGTAATGACCCTTACAAAAGGGAGACTAAAAGGGCAAGAACAGAAACCTGTTTGGGGTGTTCGCTTGTTTGTTTATCAGAGAGTCCCATTGAAAATTCGGGGTGTTAACAGACATACTTGCAGTAAATTTGAGATAATAGTACAATAAAGAAGGGCTTGAATAGAGCAGAGGAGTAAGGACAGGAGAGAAAAAACAGCATCACAGCACGGAGCCGAGCGCTTCTCTCGGACTCAGAACTGCTTTGGAAGCAGCGTGAGCTCCATCCAGAGAGCCAGGTGAGAACTGCACGGGAAGGCAATCACCTAACCCTGATAGAAACCTTTTCTGTAAGATGGTCTGGTTTAAATTCATCTTTCGATCACAGAAAGAAAGGAATTGAGGGAGGAGAGAGGTGAATTATTAGATGTTATCTCATTATATTGTTTTGTTACAAAAGGAATGTCAAACCTTAACTCCAAACTATGCAAGGGCTAAAGAGATTATTCTCACATATCAAGGCTTCAAGACAATTGTTCCCTGTGTCACATGGAGTAGTAGATTTGATCCTTTTAACATCAAATTAGTAGTGTCCCCTCTGAGTAACATAAAACAACAGGACAGACACAAAGAGTCACAGATGGAGTGATTAGATAGAGCTGACAAGCTGCCTAAAGCAAAATTCAAGAATAGTTTCTACCAAAGGGTCTTTTGTAAGTCCTTTGGAGGTCGATGGTTCCTTTCATTGCAAAGCATCAGGCTGACAGCAAGGTATACAAATTTGGCCTCAGCCAAGCACAAAAGAAAGGTGGGCATCAGCCAGAAAACAGGAAGCAGAAAACACATGAAACAGTGAGTATCTGAATCACAGAGGGGATTTGCAATTAATTCTCTTTGAAACCTGCCATGTCCTTTCCATTACAATGTTGTCATCTAAAGATACAATCACCATAAGGCTCTCTATACTCATTGTCCAGACACCCAGATCTCACACTGACCCTCTTCTTCTTCTTTCAGGAAATGAGTACAAAATTTGTTAATGACCCAAATATGCCCGGAATTAAAGAAAAACTAAAGGCAAATTAAATAGATCACATGGAGCAGGCACAGTAAACCAAACCACCATTAAGTTTCTGCAGTAAATTTCTTTCCAGAGCATTTGAACATTTCAAGAATTTAATGAGATTAAAAATACAGAGGATGAGCAAAATATATGAATCAGTCATTTCCATGTAGGATACAGCTCTGCCATGGAACTTAGGGCAGAACCTCCAATCTGCACTACTACAAGGGACAATGTGACAGTTACTGATGAAAACATAAAAGACCAAAGCATCCTTTACCTAACTAATAGCTTTCTTTCTTTAATTAATAGAATTAGAACATTTTGGTTGGAAGGAAGATCTTGTCCAATGGCCAGACCGCCTCAAGGTGACCAAAAGTTAAAGCACCGTGTTAAGGGCATTGTCCAAACCCCTCTTAAACACAGGCTTGGGCCATCGACCACCTCTCCAGGAATTCTGTTCCAGTGTTTGATCACCCACTTGGTAAAGAAAAGCTCCCTAATGTCCAGTCCAATCTCTCCTGATGAAGTTGCTTCAAACTGTTCCCACACATGCTGTCACTGGACCCCAGGGAGAGATCAGCACCTCCCTCTCCACTTCCTCACTTCAGGAAGATGAAGAAGGGGCTCTTCAGCCTCCTTTTCTCCAAGCCAGACAGCCCCCAGGTCCCTAGCTGTTGCCCTGCACCCTCTCTCTCCCAATTTATACTTGGAGCCTGGTGTATCTCCAACCTGGGTGCAGAGTCCAGCATATGGATGACATTTATTGACAAAGAAATGCAACTTTTAGAGATTTCTACAATAAAGTAATACTGGGAGTTTTTTAACCAACCAATCTCCCTCATAAAATTCATGCTTGTCTGTGCTGCTTTATTAAAGCCTAAGTTATTGAAAAAGTAACAGCAGAAAGTGCTAGGCTCATGAGATTTAATTAGAACAGTGTAATAGATTTTGAAGGTTCTGTTGTATTATAAAACTTAGATTTCCCCTGTGAATTATCTGACCCTACATGTAATGAATCTATTTCTTGAATTAAAAACATGAACATCCAAGAGTTCCAGGACAAATAGAAGATCTATCATTAACAATAAAGAATAGTTAATAAACATGCACACATTCCATGTCTGGAAATGTACCAAATGTCTCTCTAGGCTCTTTCCTTCCAGCCAAGTAGCTATTTCTGTGAATCTGAACTTAAACTTGTAGACGTAAGCTGTATCACATAATTGTTGCTGCAGTATCTAAGGCATTACATAACACTCATGTCTTACAAGTTTGACCTGGTTCCTATGTCAGCAAACTATGAAATGGTTTTTTTAGTTCGGTGAGAATGATTTTAAACCATTGGCTATTCATGTGATAGTACTATGGTTTGTAGTATTATTTTTGTTGCATTTAGGGAATTTAGTTTGTCATGCATTGCTCAGCCCAGACTCACCCCACTAACTTCAGAACCTTCAAAATGCCATGTCTGAATTGGGAGCAAAGTGCCATGTGCTTCCAAAATGTGTCAGAGGGAAACAGGCATCTCTACCTACCAAAGATCTAGCCTACCTTCTGATGAAAACCCTCCGTAAAATGGGAAAAGGAGAGGTTTTTTAGGAGTTCACTGGGTTTTGGCAATGTTTGTATTGTTTCCCTGCTGAAAGGCAGGAAGGAAATTTTGAACAAATCAGTAAGCAGGCTGTTACATAGCAATATCTTTATTAAGGAAATCATTAGAAAATCTTTCTGCTCTAATTTTGCATCAATTTTAACAAATTTCTAAATTACAGATCATTATATCTCTAATGGTATTTCTAGTTAAAAAAAAAGCATAACAGCCAGTAAGAAATAACTGCAGCCCATTTATCACTAGGTTAGCAGGAAATAAATGTCATTTTACTATTGTTCTCTTGCTATAGAGTTTATGGGTGCGTTTATGCAGCTCTATTTCATTTGCAGGTATATGAAGAGCACTGCTGTATAAAATGTAAGTGGACTGCATATGGAATTTAAATCTTTCCAATGATAAAATGCCTCAACAGCCTTTTCATTAGAAATACTAAAAAACTTTGAAGGCTGTGTTTGCTTTTAAATCAAAACACTGCTATTTTTATTAAAGCACAGAGGGCAGGAGCAGTTCAGCTGCACTTGCCTGTCAGTTTATTCAGAGAGGGTGATTACTAATTCACTGATATCCCATTGCCTCAATAAATATGGGCACAGACCTACACAACGCCCTCCACTTCTCTTTTTATATGCCCCCTCCAATTGCTGCTCTGGGAGCTGAGCTCTGCATCTGGACAATTTCCTTTCCACTCATCACGTGCTGTAAATGTGGGAATAGAGTGAAAAGGAGGTTCTGAGTACATCCTCCTGCCTTCACCTTTGCCTCCTGCATTTTATTGTGACTTTATCTGAAAGCAATCAGGAGCAGTAATGCCATCCTTGATTATAACACTTCCTAACTGGCATTATTCTGTCAGGAAATGGATGTTCAGCTGGGATTGTCATTACACTCTCAAAAGACTGCTCTCAATTCAGGCCTCCCACCACAATACTGGAAAAACTATGAAACCTGAATTGTTCTCATATCCCCTTCTAGGCTGGATCCTCCATCTTCACAGCAAATACCCTCAGCTGTCACAGGTGCTTTAGGCACTGTTTTCTGTCTGTAGATTGGTGTGTCCCTGGGATCCCAGTCAAGGTGAAGACTTTGTCAGGAAAAGCCAAATCTGAAATAAGCTCATAGCCTACATCTAGAGCCAGATAGGGAAAGGTGGATGCAAAGGAAGAAGAGCAAGGTAACAAAAATAACTCCTGCAGAGAAGCAGGAGCTCAGATGGATCAGCATCCAGAAAAACAAATGCTTCCCTTCACAAACAAAATGATCAGTAAGTAACTGGAACTGCAAGTACAGTCCATGACATACTAAAGTTAAATCTTTAGTTAAATCTTTATCATAACAGGATTTTACTTACTCAATATTTATATTTATTACCTTCTCATGAGCTTTTCTTTTTGTTTCAGAATCCATCCAGTCGTTTTCCTTTTCTAACATGTCAATAAAAGCCCAGCGAATTCCTTCAGTCAATTCCTCCATCTGCAAAATATTTAGCGAATCCCTCCCCAGTAAAATATATAAATATATCATGGCAGAATTATTTTAAGGAAAGGTTTGGTGTATGTAGGAGGGATAGACCTGGTTAGACCACAAATCATTACAGATCACATGGTATCTGCTGTCCTTTCTTGAAGGCTCATATCTGCTTTCTCCAGTATTAGGAAACTTCTTTTGAAGGTAAGTTTTTTTCCATCTTCTTTCCCTTCTGGTATCACACACCCTGTTCATTGCTGATCATTTCATGTCATATTTGTGAGAATACCCATCTTGAAATCATAAAAAACATTGAGAGATTTGCAGTCCTTTGGGGAGATTTCCCTCCCTTAGGTTCTAGATCACTGGCTCATGCAGAAGGAGCCAGCTGAAAGGCATTTGCACAAATAAAGCCTTTCCTGCAGAGAGAATGTCTGTGGCCTGGTGTGGTTAATGTGAGACTGAGACACACCTTATTAATACTGGCAAAGAACTAAATTTGGGCTGACAGCATCATGATCCAAATGCAAAGCAGTATCCAAATATTTAGCCTGTATTTAGCTGCATTTGTGAAGCATTGCTACCCTTTACTTACTGCAGGGAGGGAGGCCCTGGCTCACCCCACTGAGCAGCCTTAACTGCTTCTGTGGTCCTGGACCACCAGTGACAGCTTGGATCTGTGCAAAACTGGGAAAGCCCACAACCACTTCATCTTGGCTGCTTCTTCAGACACCTCTGCAAAGCCAAGACCACATCCCAAGCAAGTAAAAAATAATAATAACAGGGCTTCTCAGTGAGTATGCACACTAATAAAATGCTGAAATGACAGAAAACAAGAAATATAATGGCTAAGATAGGCATTATATGAGTCTAAAGAGCCCTCATTCCTATGGATCTGTCTGGCAACCCAGAAAAGTGTATGCAACCAGCTGCCTCCATTTCCATCAGCAGATGAACCCCGTGACAGGTAGCCATGGGGAATGCTGTGAGAGTGAGGCAATGAGAGGAATCCAGAGCCACTGCTTGAGTCCTTTAGCACAAACCAGAGTTAAGACAGCACAAGACATGACAGACACCCGTTAGATGAAGACTTATTGGAACTTTGTGTTATCAGTTATGCTACATTTAAAAATAATGAAAATGTCAAGCAGCAGAGATTTATATAATCTTATTCTATAAATCTAGTAGATCTGAAATGTCATGAAAAGCAGGGATAAACCCTCAAAAGTAACATTACTTTTAGCTAAATTGTCATTAATGTATCAGATGAATATTTTAATCTGGAACTGTCCTTTATTTGTGGTGTAGTCAGAAAAAAACGTAGCAAAGTTCATTGGATTATTCTTTTTTTCCTACCCATTTCAAAAAACATTTTCCTATTTTTAGAGTCAATATGGGTCAATCACAGCACGTCTAGCATTAAATATGACTAAAGAGTGAACATTCACAGTAAACTGCATCCCAGGAAATAAGGTAACTTAAAGATATTGATGACAGAGCACTGACTCAATTAACTTCTCTCACTAATGAGGTGAACTCCCTGTATTTGGAGGTTACAAGTTCAAACTCAAGCTCTGCAGCTGGGCCCTGGTGTACACTTAGGCTTTATGCAGCAGCTGTAGCTGCAGGGGGCAGGGGCAGAAACCTATTCCTGCTATCAAAGTTATTACTGAAACTGCTCAGGCGTATCTGTAAAAAACACTGCAGGCACTCTGAGTTAGAAGCAGTGCTATATTTAGACACAAATAATGTCTTTCTTGATAAAAGAAGAGAAGTATCTAAGGTATGAAACATCAATCACAAAACATGGGGGGGAAAGAATCCATATTATCCTTAACTCAGGATTTGCTTATCATAGACAGATACATGCCATAAGCCAGAAAAAAGAAAAAGGAAAAAAAAAAATAACTGTACAAATAAGAGTGCTTTACTCACATGCTTTCTTACTGCTTAAGAAAGAAAAGTAGAACTGAAAACCAGTGAAATGAAAATGATAACACCACAAATTATTAACTTGAAAAGCACACTTCTAAATGAAATGCAACGAATTTCATCTGTATGTAATTTTATCTCCATGGGCTGTTCATTTTAAGACTGAATGTTGTGACCTGCTATGTGACTATGAATTTTATATGCATTTGTCACTATGGGTGCTACTGTGAATTCAGACTTGATAATTTTCCAAAGCTTTGGTCTAAGAGGAATGTGTACACTAAGAAACATTCTCATTAACTTGCATTTCAAGAGAAACCAGTTTCTGCCCTATCTGCTTCTTATAATTTTTCCTCACAAATGCAAATATGAAAAATGTCCATCCCCTCCATAAAGTGTACACTTCTTATACTCCTACTCTTCCCACTTATCTGTGCAGGATAACACACTACATATGCCTGGCATATTTTTGCCACAAAATGGCCAAATAGCACATTACAAACTGGATAAAGAAAAAGGGGATTGAAAAGCTGGATCTCAAGAGAAGAAACTCCAGATAAAGGCAAATATGAAAAGAAATGCAGAACCTGAGAGGGAAACAGATGACAAAGATTTGGACAAGTTAAATAAGTGTGTGCTTTCTGAAATGGAATCCTTCCTTGAGAAAGCAGTCCAAGGAGATAAAGTCAAAGAGGCAAACTCAGGCTGCTGAGCCAGGGCAGTGCAGGGCTTTCACAGAGATGCTGTTCCCAGCACTGGGTGCCATCTCTTGTTTCCTGAGTGGTTGTGTCTCTCCTGCATGGAGAGCTAAGTTCAGTGACCTAATGAGTCAATTTAAAACTGATTACTGCTAGAAAATCAATGGCTATAAAAGCAGATATTGGAAAACCTTATAAGAAAAACATTAAATGAAAATAAGTAATAAATTATTGTGAAGGGTAATTAATTATTTGAATATATTATTGAGAGAAGTGATAACATAGGTATTGTTGAAATTTTAGAACGAGGACGAACATCTCTCTAGACGCAAAGGTATGGAAGAATATTTCCTTCCACTGTTCAGCAGAAAAGATTAGAATCACAAATATAAACTCTCACTATGTGGCTCTCAGCTTCCCTTAATTTGAGCCAGACATCAGTCATGTGTTTCTTGCTCAGATTACAGGTGTAGCAGTCACAGCTTTCAAAGGGTAAAGCAGAGAAATCTCAACCAGTTTTTTTGATTAGTCAGTAAAAACTTTACTATAATAAATTATACTAACTATAGTAAAACATTTCTCATCAATACCACTCACTCTGCTCCTGCACAGCCTGTCACTATTTACATAAATTAACAGCCTTAAACCTGTTTTTGAACTGGCTGCTTATTTGTCTGAAAGACTGCAGGTGGAAAGAGGGGGCAGTGCCCAGGTGTGCAGAAAGGTAACACTTCTTCAGATGCATTCAATTTTCTCCTCATGTTTGGGGTTTTTTAAGTTCAATTAAAACATTTTAAAGACTCTTATCCCTTTTTAAACTTTGTTCTAACATCAGAGGCAATTTGTGAGGATGAAACCACCAACTGAAAATTTCCAGACGGAGACCGCCGAGGACTCACCATCTCTTTCTTGTCTTCTTGAAAATGAGCTTTCACAAACATCTTACCCACAACGTAGGGGAGGGCATTTTCTACAAGGTCCACACATTTATCCCATTGGGGCAGCAAAGTTGTAGTCCCATGGATCACCTGTTGACAGGAGCATGTATTAGGCCATAACATCATCCTGTTCAAGAAGAACCCCCATGCAGTATAGGCCAAAGCATATTTGTCAAAAAGCCACCAAAAGGAAACAATAATGATACTCTACAGTTATTTCTATTTTCATCCAATGCTATGACAAATATATATACCTGTAAGATTTTAAACTTAACAGTACAGTGGTAGCAGTGACTTAGAGAGACTAGACTTAGAGAACTAGTGCTAACTTTGGACTAATATTGGTATTCTTTCTGTGTTAATTAGAGAGATAATTTCCTCTAGAAAAACCCTGCTGTGAGATATCTCCTAAAAACGTTTGCTTCTCCTCTGACAGGCTGAGAAGTCTGTCAGATTTCCATGATTGTCCTCATGAAAATCGGGTTAGTCCTTATAAAACACCTCCTGCAGAGCCTTTATTGCCATGAACTAATGACGTCTAGCACAGATGGGTACATGTCCTTTTTGTCATTTATCTGTTCAACTACTTTTATGGCAGTTTGTGTAAAATAGTTGCTTCCCATTCCTTTCCCAAACAGAATTTTCAGGATAAAAGAGATTTGAATAATGAAGAACACTGAATATGTTTGTCTCCCACCCAAAGATAAAAAATTACTCTATGTTGCATTAGAACGATGTTGGTAGAACAACTTGCATATTTTAATAAAGAAATTGTATTAATTAGATACTTGCAGGCTCTGATGATGTCACCATAAATGAGCTTCAAAAGAAACAGTCAAGAATGGTCAACACAACAAGGAACAATCAGGAGCATTTGCTGCCTTGGTTTCTGTTTCTCACAGGAAGAATTTTTACTGTGGGTGCTCACCTAGCTAACATTATATTGCTCATCAAGATGTTGTTTGTGCAAATAAATCCAGCACACAGCAAGACAAAAGATGGGTCCATGTGAGCAATAAGCAGCACTGATTTAAGAAACTTTTGTTATTTTCAAGGTTCAACGTGTTCCCTTTCCACTTAAGGAACACTTTTTAAGCTTTTCCACAGAGAACAAGCACAATCCCAGTCCAGCAGTCACACCTGACAGCTGTGTAAAGGCAGAGTATAGTCAGCATCACACCAGAGCAGGTGGGATAAGGGTTTTGGCCTCCCACAGATTATAAAAGCCTCTTAAGCACCAATTTTGCATTTTCTGAGCCCTTTCTTTGTCTCATTATTCTCCTGCTTTGAGCACAAGATTAAATGTCCAGCAAACTGAAGGATTTGGATATGTTTTTCCAGCAGAAAAAGATTTCATTGGAAAATTCCAGAGCAGCTTAACCCTCAGCTATTGAAGGTGAGATATTTTGGTAGTTTAAAGATTGATTTTCCCTTTCATATTGTCTGTAATTAAGCATAATCAATGACTCACACTTAAATACACCAGTGAATTGCATTTCTAAATGCTTTTTATTAATACTGTATATGCAGTAATAGATTTTCGATGGCAAAAAGTACACTGCTTCTAAAAGAAAACCCTATTAGTCAAACTAATACATAATAAGGTGATATTTTTTCTAAACAGAGCCAAATTTGACAATCAACTCCTTTTCCAAATTCTTCAACCTTTATACATAACACAACAGCACACTCAAAAAAAAAAGAAAAAAAAAAAAAAGATAAGAAAAAAGAGAAGAAAATTTCTCTCTCGGGTCAGAGTAATCCCACAATGGAGCTTTTTCCTGATGTAAGGGGGAGAAGGGGGAGTTATGGCATTAGTCATCAGAGCTTGAAATTCCTTCCAAAAGCTCTGAGTATGCATCAGCCATAGAAATAGTCAGGAGAGAGAGCTGGCTTTTAGACTGTGACATATTATTATTACAACACAATAATTATCATTATTTTGAGGGAGGCTTGACTGTAAGGAGGACATAAAGGCAGCACAGGCTGTGAGACCAATAAAAATAGAGCTGAGAGGAATAGATTATATATCTCACAGCTAGTTTATTGATATTTATGTTACAACAGCCAACAGGAACTCCCTCAAATGGTCCTCCTAATATTAATGTACCACTCTAAAACACAGTACTTCAGGTAGTAACAGTGGCTATAAATAGCTGTTTTCAAGCCGTCCCAGTCAATTCAGAGCTTCAGGACACAATTAACCAACCTCTTCCCAAGGTGCCACTGCACATTTACAAGGTCTCAAAGTGCCACTGCAGAGGAGCTGCTGATAGTTGCTGATGTGGTACTCAAAGCACTTTCTCTAGAGTCAGCAGGTTTGTCCTATTTCTAAACCTGAAGGTTTTTTTTACATTTCATCGTGTATTTTTCCTTCTCCTTGCAAAGATTTTAAGGCCCTGGTGCCAAGACTTCTACATAAAAGGTATAAAAGCCACCAATAGAAAATGAGCACCTTGTGAAAAAAAATACTCTGCTTGTGATGGTTGAGGCTGACTGAATTAATGAAACAATGAATGTATAAAATTCATCCTTTCCTTTAAGGGTCACTGATTTATCTCATGGTCATATCTTTTTAATAGTAATTCAATGTTTTATTCACTTACCTGGCAAGAGGTTGGTGGGTCCTTTTTATGATCCTAAAGTGCCTCTAGTTCTCCATACTCTGACTGGATAGATCTATTCAACAATAAATAGACTCATCTAATGCCTTGGACTCCATTCCTCATGTCCTTTCTATTCACCTGTGAAGTCTGTTCCACTGAGCTGTTTACTCCAATTAACTTTAGCTATTAACTATTAGCTACTGCTGCTTACTTCACTCAACCAGCTCTCTATCTCCAGGTCCCAGGGGCAGATAACAGGGGTGAGCTGCTGATTCACTGTTTTTATTGTGCTGTAAGCTTCCACAGCCATTTACATGGCCAATATTGTTTAACTCATTCATCAGTGATTTGGAGGAAGGGGCAGGGGTTCCTCAGTGAGTTCACTGATGGCACAGAGCTGGGAGGAGTGGCTGAAACCCCCAGAGCTGTGCAGCCCTTCAGAAGGGCTTGACAGGCTGGAGAAATGGGCAGAGGAATGGTCTGGAATTCAGCAAAGGCAAATGCAGGGTCCTGCCCTGGGGAAGGACAACCCCAGGCACCTACACAGGCTGGGGCCAACCTGCTGGAAAGCAGCTCTGCAGAGAAGGGCCTGGGGGTCCTGGTGGACAATGAGCTGTCCATGAGCCAGCAGTGCCCTGGGGGCCAGGAGGGCCCGGGGATCCTGGGGGCATCAGGGAGAGCATTGCCAGCAGGGCAGGGAGGGGATCCTGCCCCTCCACTCAGCCCCACTGAGCTGTGTCTGCAGTGCTGTGTCCAGTTCTGGGCTCCTCAGGACAAGAGAGACATGGGGACACTGGAGTGGGTCCAGTGGGGGGCAACAAGGATGATTAGAGGACTGGAGCATCACTCTTACAATTAAAGTCTGAGGGAGCTGGGCCTGTTCAGCCTTGAGAAGAGACAACTGAGAGGGAAGCCCATCACTTTTTAAAAGTATCTGAAGGGGAGGTACCAAGAGGATGGAGCCTTTTGGAGGGATCCTTTCTGTGATGCTGAGCAATAGGACCAGAGGCAGGAATTGATGCACAGAAGTCCCACCTGAACATGAGAAAGAATTTCTTCCCTGTGCAGTGACTGAGCACTGGCACAGATTGCCCAGAGAGGGTGTGGAGTCTCCTTCACTGGAAATGTTCAAGAACCATCTGGACACAATCCTGTGCCTTGTGCTCTGGGATGGCCCTGCTTGAGCAGGGAGGGAGGTTGGACCAGATGACCCCACTGTGGTCCCTTCCAATCTGACCCACTCTGTAACTCTATGACAGTCTTGATGATATTATTAATAAGCATTGAATCACTTTGAATTAGATTTCTCCCTAAGCTTCTACATCCCAGAGATGTGACAGCAGCCAGTTACCATATTAAAATGCACAATATCCAAAGCTTAATGATTCCTTTCAGAATTTTTTCTGGCCATTACATAACTCAATGTAACTCAGTATTATGCTACAGACTGGCTGATAGCCAGCATCAATCCATTTTACCTGACTAGCTAGGAATGTCCCAGGAGGGGACACCTACAAACTTGTCACTGTGGTTCTGACAGCCAATTTCTCATATTTTACATGAAGAAAATAGCATCTTTAACAAGCCTATTTTGAATATGATCTCAGAAGTGCAAGAGACTGCCTTTCCTGTGTAGTTTCCATCAAGCTATTGGAGTTTATTTTTAGGTATGTGATCAACTCAGAACTATTCCAGTATTTCTCAAGGAAAAACAGTACAGGTTCTTTAATTAGCCACCTGCATGCCTCACCAGGGAGGACAGAACACCCACATCTCCTGCACCATGCCAGCCTCCTGTTGTCAGCCAATTTTCATAATGGCAAAGTTCACCATCCAAAGTGGCTTAGACACAAGACAAAGTACCATTCAGTTTCAGTTGCATCCTTGGTTTACTTAAGGACACCTCACACTGCCCACATGATTACCAAGGTGGCTTTCTATTCAGGGTTCACTTAATCAAACCTATGTGTTTTACATAATGCCCATATTACTGAACAGATAATTAGCTCTGTTCTCATAGCTTGTGGCAGGTTTCTGGTTCTTCTGCAACCCCAAGCTGAAAGGAACCTAATTATCTTCTCTATGGAAATGGCTGGGTATCTTTGTGCTAGAGCTCCTGGAATGTTGGCATTAGAGCATGGAAGAGCTTTGAGCAAGCTTTAAAAAAGTGAAATCCTACACTTCTGTTTTATTAGAGCTTTATTCACAATTGGGCAAACAGTAGTTTTCAAAAAGTTTAGATTTTGGTCAGAAAGGTTTGGCCTGAATGTCACAGCCCACGTAACCTAATTCAAGTTTCTGCAAAAGAAGACTAAGTTTTTTAAAAAGGGCTTTTCAAAACCTTTTTAACATCATCTAAAACACTTTTTGTCTCTAGTGTCATATTAGTGTCATATAAATGTCTTAGTGTCATACACAAAAATATGTATGTCTATTGTTTTAGAGGGTGTCTTCAAAAATAACCAAAAAAGGTTTATTCAAGAAATTTCTCCAGAATGGAAAACATTTTGTGTTTTGCAAGGGTATAAGCAACTATAAGGGAAAACAACAGTGTCAACACCAGGACCTTTGTAAATGCTATGAAAGCACAACTTACCCGAGAAAATTCCAGCCACCGATACTGAAAACGTCTACTGAGGTTAAATAACCTTGAATAAACCATCCTCCACACCAGGTAATTGGCAAGAGTCCTGTGAAATCAGGCATATTTTTATCAGACATGTAAACACATATGATGTACCACAAAGCACTCACAGACAAACATTTTACCCAAATGGTGGAATTTTCACCTTAAAAATGAATGAGTGATGGCCAAGTTGATAAATCCCAATTACATGGGAGAATCTGTATGATTGCATCCATTTAATATACAATTTCCCCATGATAACCATCTTCTAGGGATTATTTAAAACAGGTCCATCACCTAGTATGTAATTTTTAGGTAATGCTTTTTTTCAAAAGGCTGCTTTAATTTTCCTTAGAAGTGGCAAGAACTATGTTATAATAATAGTTGCATCAAAGTTTTATCCAGAGATTTTTTTTTCTTTTTGTAGATCAAAGTAAATGTTATCTCCCCTCATTAGCAGGGCACATAAATGGTAACAGAATAGATAACAGTCCATCCCACATACACTCTCATTATCTCATATTTGTATCTTTCATTAGAAGTTATCAATATGCCTTGAAAACTTCTACTATTCACAAAGTTATTAAAGTATTACCTATTCCTATTTTGTCAGATGGATAATTGAAATACCAAAAAAGAGAAGTGTCAGTAACAAAAATCTTTTAAGAACTGAGGCTTAGAGATCAAGGAAGAGCTTGTTTAAAACTCCCAGGAGATCTGGCATCCATGCTCCTTTTCTAAAACTTTGGGCACCTGACTGGAGGATTTATCCAGCCTAGATTGATCTCTCTCCATGTTCAGCAGTGGCTGTATGAGCTAAAGGTGCATTCTGAAATACTCAATTCAACTTCAAACAGTCTCAAGTCCAACAATGGCCTACACTTATTCTTCATTTTCTTTTATAGATGACATATTTTTCAAGGATAGTCATTGCTTCAAAGCTAAGATATTCAAATGTTATTTGCTCCCCACTGGGATATAGATAACATTTTTGACAGGCCACAGACTTCTCTGCAGGTAGGAAAATGGCTTCTGTGCAAGTGAGGGTGCTGTTATGGACTTTCTGAACAACTCCCCCATCTCTAAAAATCCCATTTCTGCAATCTCCCATTGCCATAAGTGTGGGGCAATGCAGCTGTTGCTATAGTGTCACTTCATTAGCTTCACTCAGAGACACATCCCAAGCAGTTCCCTCCTCTGAATCATAACAGCTTGGAAGTACACTTTGTGGGCATGTTGTCTTGACAGCAGCATTTGCTTGAGACATAACTTCAGTTTTGCCTCTAACCAAGCTCCAGTCCACCCACACAAAGCCTTCAGCTCAAGATGTGTTGTTGCATCTCTCACACTGGGAATATTCCCTCTTTTACACAGTTATGTTTTATAGTGCACCTAAATGCCCACAATAATTGTAAAATATATCTGGAAAAGATTTTTTAGCACGAATAATGTGCATTTATAAGACAGCACATGTCACAAAAGCCAAAATAGTTAGCTCTGTTTAGATAATCACACCATTTTAAGATGATGTTTAGGATCATTAAAAATTCATTCAACCTAAGAAATGCCACAAAGTTCAGATTTTACCCTTAACAAGTTTCTGACAATGTGGAATTTTCTCACTCAACGACAAGTGAAGCACCCTAAAAGCACTCAGTTCTCATTGTTTTGGTAAACAACTCGAACTACAGAAACCTCACAAAAATCTGCCTCAGATATTTCAGCAGAGCTGAAGAATATCTCACTGTAGCAACTTCTGCAGCATTTATACAAATCTCACAGATTAAAAGGTTAAAGATTTGCTTCCAATCAAAAGCCTTAGGTAAAATCCTTAGTTAAATAAATCACTGTCATGCACCAATTATGTATTACAATTTACTTAATCACCACCAAAACCAAAATCAATTCTCTCTTCTGTGTACTTGTTTTCACAGAGCAATGTTTGTTTCCCCAACATTTGAGTTGGGAAGCCTCTCCCAAATTGGTGAAAGACTGGTGAAACTGAATGAAAGACTGAAATTCATAAAGGCTGGGTCTAAAAAGGTGACTTATTGAAAGACAGAAATATCAACAAGAATTCAGAAATGTTCGTGTCAGGTATAATTAATGAAGGCAGATGACAATTGCAGGAAATATAACTATTTGGGATTGTTTTAATTTGGGAAGAAAAAGGCTGACACATGCTAAAACCAAGCTGTCTGATGAGACAGTAATAATTCCAGATTACAACCACAACAGAATCCACAATGCATTAAACAGCAGGGAGGTTCCACTTGAACGCTTATTAATGGGGGGCAGGTGGAAAGGTTGAGGGTGTTTGTTGTCGTGTGTTTGAAGTGCAATGTGCTTTAGTTTGTTTTTCAAAACAAAATAAAACAGTCATTTATCTGAATTTGTTTACCTATTTGGGGGATGATTATCTTACATTTTGGGCTAACTATGCCAAATTCAAATCGTTTGGTTATCTTCAGATGGCTTAAAACCTGACACTTTTAACTGATAAAGTTACTACAGTGCAGGTCTTGGGGTGATTTTCATCCCAGTTTCACAAATAAGTTCACTGAGGCTCAGAGAAGTTAATCTCTACACGTGGAGGAAAGTCCAGCAGACAAATAAAACATAAAAATCCTCTCTGCTCTTTCAGTGAGACCAGACTATTTGTTGTTGTAACCTTTCAGAAGAGTACACTCTATTTTAACTTCCAAATGCCTGTTGCAGAAAGTGTAGGCTCACTTCTAACCAGTATGACCCCTATTGTGACACACACTCCCAAAGGAAGTGGTGGAGAGATTGTTTGCTGGGACAGTTAAAATTATACAGTACTTGTGAATATTGACTAAAGTACTTTCTGTCCTGTCTGAGAATAAAGTAGGTTGCTCATGTAAAATTCTGTGAGTTTGCAATATTTTAATCAACGGGCATGGTAGCAATTAAAGAGGACAGATTTAATACGAGATAGGTAGAAAAATTAATTGACATTTTAAGAAAAAGATCTCTTTCACAAATTTTAGATCTGTTTGAAAATTGTTTTCAGAATTGAGTCACGAATCAAATTATAAGTACTGAAAAACTTTTCCCTCTATTGCTAGAGGCACTAATTCAAGACAAATTATTGTAACTTCTCTAATTTTTCAGACGGAGATTAAGACCAGAAAAGAGATCTAGTGCCACCATCCATCTCTGAAGGAAATTCCTCATATGCTATATGAATTAGAGTTCTTCTCAATTAATAGTCCCATATTGCAAATATGTGGGAAGGTAAGACAAAGGAAAAGGAGCCTACAAGAAAGCTGGGAAGGACATTTTAAGGGGGACTGGCTTTAGACTGAAAAAGGATAGATTTATCAGCTATTAGGAGGACATTCTTTACTGTGAGGGAGAGGAGGCACTGAACAGGTTGTCCAGTGAAGCTGTGGATGCCCCATCCCTGGAAGTGTTGAAGGCCAGGCTGCCCCTGCCCTTAAAGGTAGATCATCACAATGGGGCTCTGAGCACCCCAGCCTAGTGCAAGGTGTCCCTGCCTGTGGCAGGGGTGTTGAAATGAGGTAATCTAAAGGGTGTCTTCCAATCCAAACCATTCTACAATTCTATGAAACTAATTATGCATTCTGAGATCTAGGAGAGTGATAAAGCTGCTTCTTTCAACAGCTGCAAAGACCTCCAGAAAGGATGAAATTTAGAGTATCCTATTTATGGCTCACATAAAGCACCAGCACATAGGTAACAGGGAAGGGATATAAACTCCTAATTAGTGCCAGCACAGTTCTATCTCCCTTCTCACATGGCACAGCTGTACTGCACTGCTCATTTACATCACAGCTACACACACACATCTCTTCTTCCTGTAATAGAGATAAACCCCATTAAAAATTAATAAATGCACCAAAAAGCTGAAGGAATCCCTGAGGCCCTCTTACAAAGAAGGTGTGACTTTCAGCACGTGACATGACTAAGGCTGGCTATCCCCAGTGATGGAATCTCAGATGGGAACTCTTGCAGGCTGTTTGCTGAGCTGCTGGGGCAGCTCACTGAGGGGAGCCCAGCTCCTGGGCTGGAGTCACAGCAGTGCCCTGGCCTCTGACCTTGCTGCTGCACCTATTTCAAGATCCACACAGGAACTTGATTATATGCAGTTAAGTAAAATTCTGCTAAATTCATGCCACACCTTGTTAATGTGCTCTCTTCTAGCAATATTGCCCTGTGAATGATTTCACAATTCAAGATTGCTCAGCAGGTTCTGTGAGGGAGAAATTTTTAATAAAAGGATTGAGTCTGTGCAACTTGCCACCTCCAACAGGAACTGCTTCTGTAGCTAGACTTAATTTTCACTCCATTCTTTCCTCCACCTGAAACAAACTTCATGAAATGCTTCACCAGACCACTGGGTAAAATACTGGGGCATGAATATTACTGTGACATTTTAAATAGCACCCAGGCTAGCAGGGTGCTCATTCAGGAAGAGAACACACAAGGCACTGGAATAAAAGCATAACTTAGGGATAGCCTTGTAACTGAAAAGAATATGAACTCAGTGAAAGTACCTGCTTTTCCTAATGACACCCCATCTCCTGAAGTGATGAGAATATAACTCCCATTATGAACACTAAAGCAAATCGAAAATTTTGAAATGCTTTTCTAGGAATTTCATGTCTAGATATTTACAGTAACAAATCAAATTCATGTTTTTTACCTTAAATAAATGTTTAAAATGACATATGAAGAATGAAAAATGAGATTACCTAAAAGAAAATATTCTTGTCAAGCTTTCAGGGTTCACCCTACAGTGAAATGTTGAGACTTCATTGTCAGTAGTTCACATTGAGATGATTTCCTAATTTTCTCAGGCCAGATAGCAAGCTTACCTCTGGAGCAGACTCTGACATTTTAAGTAATGAACATTATCACCTAATAGATAAATATAATCTTGGTTATCATGCCTGGACTGTTTGGATAAATTTTACACACAAGAATTTGAAGATTGCTTGGGTTCATTTTAGTACTATTTGCCATTTCTAATATTTTATGATGCAAATTTCTTAGGATAAGACTGGGCAGAAAATCCCTAATCCATTAACATATGCAGTGTGAATATACTGGAACTGGTTTTGCTCACCCTCTCCCCCTGACCTGTGAGGTCAGAAACCTGGTCTTGAGCTTTGCTAAAGACAGGCATTGCAATTATTTCTGGTCACCACTCCAGCCTCCTTTTGTCACGACATACAGGCTAGCTTAATTTCTGTTGAATACTCAGATTTTCCTTGAATAAGAAACTCTGGATGGAAATGGAAAAAGTCTCCAGGTATTTACTCTGTAGTTACAAAATATATTTGCAAATAAGTGTATATGCAAGGAATAACTAATTCCTTATTCTCTTGCTATATATGCATCCTCTAAATCACACATTTACACTGACTGATGTAACAAACTTTGAGTTAGAAAGCACGGACAGCCCAAATAATTTTTAAAACTTTCTTCAATAGATTAATATTGGTAGAATTATTATTACTTATCTGAATCTTTTTAAAGAAAGGATATTTGATGATCTGTAGGCAAATCAGTAATTGTTCTTTTTCTGATTATTTGATTTGTGTGCTATTTTTGCAGGTACTAGGAATTAATGTAAATATTCTATCACTAGATACACAGAGTGACAATATGAGAATCATCTTTATCTTTTTTTTGTCCTGAAATACATTTGGTTGTGGCCATAATGTACAATCAGCAAAGATTAATATTTGGAGACAGCAACTTAACGAAATTTATTTTAAAGTTCAATAACATCCCTCAGAGAACAAATTATCACAGAAATCCCTTAGATGTTATCAGTAAGGATGTTTCAAATGGGATGTTATTTTTTCATCACTGTCCCAAGCTGTCCTGTCCTCTGTGCAAAGCACATCTGCCAAGTATAATCTGAAATACCTACATTTCACAACTATGTTCTACAGATGTAAAGGATTTCACAAGAAACAAGACCCTATACAACTAAGAGATGCTGAATATATCTGGAAAGAGCAGCTTCACTGAAACCTCTGTTAACTAGAGAAGAAAAGTGTTGAAACTGAAAATTCTCCTGCTGTGCACAAGGTAATATCTAAATCCTCATTCAAACAACATGTTTGCCTAGAGACTTGATTCCAAGAATAGCTGAAACTCATGAAAAAAAAAAACCAAACAGAAAAAGCCCAGCATTTTATGTCCCCTTACAAGTGTGAGCAAAATCATCATAGAATCCTTACTTTTTCCTTTCATTTTCTAGTATCCTGAATAAATCTTTGAAGTACTGGGGAACACGGACAATCACATTTTCTGAAGGGCCTATATCTTTAAGCTCAGGATAGAGTTTGGTGTCAATCACCTTCTTGATGTATCCCAGCCAGTCAAACTGCAATGACAAAGAGAAGGGTAGTTAAAGCAGATTATGAAGAGAGATGATTTATTGACTAAGTTACATCTTTAAAACTAATGGTTTCAATGCTTTACTTATTAAAAACTTAGAAACTATTGCACTCTGTCATTACATTTGTTTACAATCCTCATTAAAGCTGAAACAGTATTTAAAAGAACATACACTGTAAGTGAGCACATACATTCCTAATGATACTTCTTCAACTTGCTGCTCTGAACATTGAAGACAGTTTTAATTATACAGGCCAGACATTAAAAGAATAATTTTTCAATTATCCCCAACCAACCTGTGGAATCATGGCACTAAGCTCCGATATGTTCATTTTATTGTACATCACCTCACTTGTTCGATTTTCATATGGAATCATGATCTGGTGAAGAGAAAAAAGTGCACAAAACCATCAAAACAAGGTTATCTTGCAGGGACTGTTACATCATTACCACACTTCCTAATCCCAGTGCAGAAGTATCTCACCACCTGTTTTCCAAGCATTTATGACATTAACTTCTGTTTCTGAGGATTGCATTTAACTAGAAGAAATGGAACATAGTTCCTTTTACATTTAACTAATTACTGGGAAATTTAATAAGCTGCATGTCTTCTTTGGACTTATTAGACTGATTTAGCTAAGGAAAAATATGTTAATACATAAGAGATAAAAGTACACCTTGACCATTAATACTTATTCATTCCTTCCTATCAAGCAGAAGCCAACTTCAGATTTATTAGGTCAAATCTGAGATAGGTGCATCTTCATAATTGGAAGTGCATCTCATGTCTTGGATTTGAATGTGTTCTTGCTAGGGCTTTACTCCAGCTGGGTGAAGGACAACGAGTTTCTCTTCATTTCACCCCATCATCCTGATTTCCATAGCAGGAAACCTGAGTATCCAGGCCAGACATGAATAAAGCATTCCCCAACCAGGCCTCTCATCTGGGTGACCAGAGAAGCCAGACCTCAAGTTCCTCTGCAGCGTCCAAGGACACAGAAAAAGAAATCCTAAATGTGAAACAAGTCCTTTCATAACTGACAAGAAGGGAATGCAGACTCTAAGACAGCCCTGTGGCTCATAACAGTAAAACAAAGTACAAGATATAGCTCAAAATTTCTTCAGTGCTCAAGAGAAACAAAAATTCCCAATGACAATTCCAGCCCTGCTGTAAGGTAAATCCTTTACAACAGGCTGTATGCTGGACAGTCTAAAGGACAGAGATTGATGCCAGACTAATCAGACAGCTGGCACTTCTCCAACCAAAATTCTCCAGTATGTGTTTCTGGTTTTAGTATTGCTGAAGCCATAGAGGGAAAAAAAAATCAACTTTCTCTTCCCTTTCTGCAAATTTCATTTCTCTGAAAAATCTTTAAACACTTCTTGAAGCTATTTACTTCCTTCCTCTCAAAACTTTCCCTCTTGCTCCAGTGATTCAAACTTAATAAAAATCTTCCTTGTACACAATAAGCTCTCTCAAAGCCTGCCACTCATTCCTATATCCAAAGTATTCTCTTCCCGAGCATAGAAATTCTCCATTACATGTGTTTACAGTAATACCTCCATCACAGTAAGACGTTTATGTAATCGTAATAATATAATCATTATGTTTATTAGAGTTTATGCAACAATCCATGTCCGTTGACTCATGCCTAATATCTGGACAGATATTAAGAGGATTATTCTTATTAAAAGAACCTGTAAACAAGCATGGCTTGTTGCATAACAATGTGCATTGCTGATGGTGAGGGTTGTTACATGATCCATGTCATCTTACATGGCAGCTACACTTACATACTTTGTGGATTAATGCTCTGTAAGACACTTGTTAAGCAAAGCATTAGAGCTACCAGAGCTAAGGATACATCTTCTTACGCCATCACTGATAAACAGAAGAAATATTTACTGTTTTTCAAGTGTGCTGGGTCACAAGGAAGTATTTGTACATTAGTCCATTCATGCTAAGTAACTGAAAGTGAATATTGGACTTGGCTTAGACATTTGACAAAATTTCATCCCTTTCAGCAGAGAGATGGAAATGCTGATTGGCTACTGTTGTGGGTGGCTCTCACTTCTGTACAAACACACCATTAAGAAGCATTCTGTAGACTGCAACAGTGGAATCCAGATAAAAGACATCTATTGCATCACCTGTCCCATGCAGCTTCTTTGCTAACATGGGACCAGCATTTCACAGGGATAGCTTCTTTCCTGGCCAATATGAAGGAATACTCAGTTCAGCTGGCAGTTCTGCAAACCAGCATCAAGTCTGTACCCTTGCTTTTGGTGGTTTCCCAACACTGAGCCTAGCCCTTCTCTCTAGTTTTAGTGGAGGTTGAAATGATAATGAAAGTGCTGCTCTCATGAGTGGGATTCCTGTAGTAGCCGCACTGAAACAGAGATATAGAGAAGCAAAAACTCTCCTTCAATCTGCAATAAACCTGTGTCATAAATTAAAGTCCTCACAAAAATGCCACCAAGTAAATGTCAGAACCAAAGACCAGATTTAAATGCACTTAGCTTTACTAAATTCAGTTGATCCTCTAAATTAAAACTCATGGGTTTTTCATCTATTGTCCCAGACTCCTCTATGAAAACACTTCAGGATCTAATGGTGGTACTGCTGTAAACACCACTCTCTCACACCAAGATCCAACATCCCACCTCAGTCTTGCACTGCTTTTAGACTGTTCCACAGAGAGTCAGCCCAGTCTGCTTCTTGAACAACACAGTAATATATTCTCAACACAGATCCAGAGCAGGAGCTCAGAGTCTACACAGCTTCAAATTTAGAGAATAATTTAGGTTGGAAAAGACATGCAAGGCCTTGAGTTATTTTTCCAGCTGCCCAGTGGATGCCAGTGAATTGGTGTAGATGCACTTCAGCTGGGATATTGATCTCATCACCTTTTTGGAAGGACAAGCCCTAATTCCTATGGGACCATCCTCAGGCATTTCCACAGTTTCTAACACATCAACAACCCCTGTGTCTCTCTTGTCACATGGATCTCCCTTCCCCACCTCCACTGAGATGGAAGACCAAAGGACCCTGCTAATAAATATACCATCCCTTAAACATTGCCATGCCATCCCCAGGCTTGCCTCTGGTCAGGCTGGCTGACATTGCAATTTAAAACATCAAGGTTATTTGGCTAAGGCTCTTCCCCTGAGAATAAAATTTACAGTTTAACAATTAACTAAGAGAAATATTATTCATGCTTTCTTCATCAGGATCTGCTCCTTTCCTTTGGCTTCTAAAATCCCTATTGCTAATGCTGTTGATATAATGGCTTTTCGTTTCAAGAAAGGATTATATTAGATTACCAACCTCTGCTATTTTAACTTCCAGTTTTAGAACTGATTTCATATCAGATTCAGCTCGGGACGCATTTGCACCCAGAAGCACTGCTGTATCAACCATGAACTGCAGAAAGGCATCTCGGTACTGTAAAGAAAGAGAAAGACTGAAATGGCAACAGGATTTGCTCTTGAGCAGAGTTGTAGCAGTAGATCAGAAATTCACAGCTATAGGAAGTTCTGGATTAGACTGACAACTTTTAGGTCTTAAAAATGGATTCTACAATGTGTAAACATGTACACCAGTATTTGAGGCCAACTAACATTAACCAGCATGGGACAGAAGTATTTGTATACAAGTGCAAGCTTCATTTAGGAAACTTTGCAACGGTGTTTTGATAGAAGTGGTATTTTCTGCTAGATACCCTGCAACATCCAAATCCTAACAAAGCACAACCCTTTCTCAGTTTGGAGCTCAACCAAATAAAATGAACAATGGAAAAAGATGAGGGGGGAAAATGGTGGCTCTATTTCCCAGCTGACAATACTTACAGATTTGGCTTCTGTGGTATTTTCTAGGTAATCCTCTCGAGATGCCAGAGAGAGGCTTGCTTGATCAAGCTGTTAAAAACAGCACAAAGTAACATTTAACAGCTAAAATTCATCAGATTCAAAGATAAACTGATAAGCAACTTTGGAAGGGTTCATGTTTTTCTGGCGACTACAGTAGTTGTGTGCAAATATCTACCGTATAAAACACTGCAGCAGTCTGAGTTAGACAGGATTTCCAAACAACAGGAAAATGCTATGCTGCACTGACAGATATTAACTAAATCACATTACTGTCATCTGGGGAGCCTCAGATGACCCCTGCAATAGCTAAGCCACCTAAAGAAAAGAATCACAGGTGTGATTTAAAACAGCTTCATCAGTGAGTAGGAAATGCAAAAGGACTGGATGTACAGGATCAGACCAGTGGTGTTGATGACTGTGCACCCATCCTGTGCCTATTTCAGGGGTACCAGAGTCAGCCTGGGACCACACCAGTCCAGTGTATGCACCAAATACCCCGAGGTGCTGGAGCATGAGAGCTGCTTCTCTCTGCGAGGCATCATTAGGTTTTGTGACTGAAATTGAGGTTACAAATTTGAGCTTCACTTTTGAGCACTGGGTGCTGTACTCAGTCTTTTGAACAGATGAACTGAAACTGAAGGGGCTCCCAGCCAGGATTGCATGCACAGGACATTGTTATGTCCCCATTGCTTTAGCTAAAGGTGTCTGGTAGTCCACATGAATCTTTGACCTTCACTTACTTATCTTTTCCATCTAAACATGGATCAGATTTTCTGGTTTACATTCACCCTAATATTGGAATTAGGCCTGAAAGTTTGAGATCTGCATTTAGTGTTTTGAGTGAAACACCTACATGGGAATATTTGCATACTGTTTTAAATTCCTAACCAGGAAAAACTCCATGCAGTGTATACTTTATAATTATTACTGAGAACTGAGATTTCCCAGAACTTTTCAATGTGATAAAGTTAGATTAGGGTATGGAAGCCAAAGCTGAAAAATTCAATCAACCAGCTTCCAAACTCTGAATAATATACTGATTAGAGTAGATACAACTGCTTTGATATTCTGTTCTAAATATTTTTGGTTTGATGCTGCAATTGTTTTTAAAAGATAAGTCTAGTGACAATAGATTGTATTTATTTATACAATTCTGTAAGTATTTTTTACTCTTTAAATCTACTTTAGGTTAAGTGATTCATATTTCACATTTTCTACAAATAACAAATAAAACTTATAATTTAAAGGGAATAAATAAATGTAATATTTTCCTCTACTAGCTGATATCACATCCTTTAAAATATACCATAAACAAATTAAACAAACCATCCTCAAAAAGGAGTGTCATGCTCAGTGCAACTCTCATTCTTTGAAAAACAGCATCATTTTCTTTTCTCAGCACAATGATGCAAAAAGAATATACTCTTATGCTTCTTGTACATGTGTCTTTGAAATAGTTAACTTCAGATTATTTGGGGAATTTCAATTATGTGACTGTTACATTAAATACTCATTCAAATTCCCTGGTCTTAAAAATTAGATTTGGCAGCACATTAAGCCAAGAGAGCACAAATATGAGAAATAAACAAAGTTAGCTAACTGTTTCAGTACTCATTGGAAAAAAAAAAAAGATAATGTTGAATGATGAATAAAGTTTTATTTGGAGTTTCCACTTCTTTTATGACCTATTGATGATTTTGCAATGCTGAACAAAAAGAATTTTGCAATAAAGCCATTTTCACAAGCAGATTGAAATACTCTGTGGTACATCTACACCCCAGGGAATTTGTTAAAACGTGGAGAAAGTAGAGCACTGGCTGATGCATTCTGCAGATAAAGGTCCTAATCAAATTAACATCAGAATACCCTAGAGAATAATATGTTATTCACAGCATGTAGTACTTCAGTTAGATATTTAATTCCTAGGTGCCCCTAAGCATAGTGAGTGAAGGTACTGCTGGTTATAAATCATTTCCAAGAGACCAGCACTGAGGATGTCCCTGCCCAGCCATTTCCTGACAGGTGACTTGAACTGAAAATATTATGACAGGAGATTCCTAAATAAACATCTCCCTGATTCTACTGCTTCAGTTCTCTTACAGAGAAGAAAATCTGACAGTATCTCAACATCATTGTAGCAGAATGACACTTTTAGTACAGCAAACTGTTGATCTGCTGTTGACTGTCCAGGAAAATGTCCTAGAGATGGGGAAAAGTTACCCTTCAACTTTAAGCCAGTTAAATCCTCAGTCAAAAGACACATGGAAGAACTGACTTAGAAATGACATCCACTCCAGTGCCACCACAGTCCCTAAATTCACTGCATTCTTGGCTACATTCCTACAGCTAGCCAAGATGATAGCAAAATAAGGATCATAGATCCTATTTTGCTCTGATGAATGCCAACTTTCTTATTTGTTCCTTCTCTTTTGCCTTCATGAGCTATTTTCTTGTTGCCATGGAGGGAGGGTCTGCTCTGGCTACTCATCTGAAGTTCTTAAACAACAATGCATTTGGCCCAGGCATTCAGTCTTGCCACAGTTCTACAATTTTATGTGGAGTTTTGTCAGACTACAGGGAGGCAACATTTCTTGAGTCTTTTTCTTACTAAACTGTTGTGTAATGTCATGCATTGTTAACAAATTGGTAATGTTTTGGTCTACAAGCAATAGCATTTCAGGAAAAAGGTAAAGTCTCTTATTTCATGTTTTAAAGCATTTGGGATAAATCTGTATTGTAAGGTGCTGTATAAGCACCAGATTAAGTGCTTCCATCTCAAGAAAAACAGCTTAAGTTCAAAATATCTGCTACTGATGGACCATTTTTCATTCTCACAGACAAAAAGCATCCTTCATGCAACCGATGAGTCATAAGCATCACACAGAATTAGATATTGACTTCTTATTCTCATGCACATAGACCCTGGCTATTGGTCTGCTGGGACATTTTTATGGTTTTTTTCTGTTTGAAAGAAGAAAACCTGTAGAGAAATACTTTTGAATAGCATGTGGCTGCTAGTGGCTTCTACATTCCCATAAACTGGCACCTACATCTGTAAGCCAGTAGATAATAACAACAGCAATCAAATGTAAACATTTGGTATGTGTTTTTAAAAAAGAGACCATAAAATACCGTGCAAAGTAACCTATTAGAAAGGCATTGTACCTTCAGGATGTAGCGATTGGAGATTTTGTCATCAGCAGCCACATACAAACGGATGAAGACAGAGCTGCTGTACTGGCCACGAAGAGTTGCCAAGGCTTGGACTAAGCTGAACCTCCTTTCTGACCACAGTCCTTCAGGTCCAATATTGGATTCCAGCACAGGCCAGCGGAAAGGTGAATGTTTCAGTACACTTAACAGGGGTTTCACATCAGCTTTTTCAATTTTATCTGAAATGTCAAAGTGTGACAACAATTACATTCCCGACAATTCAAGCCCAGCAGCAGCCACAAAAGACAAAGATTTATTGGCATCGATTGATTTCCAGGCAAGGCAATCACAATAGCTGAGACTCAAAGCCTCTGCTCTGCCTGTGAGCACAGCAACATAGAAGTCCAATCCTGTTTATCTGTATCAAGAATAAGAGAGGCAAGTAAGTGCCTTTCAAAAAAGGCAAAGGATTGAATTAGGTAAATTTTTTTTAAAAACCCCATTCCTTGCTTAGGAAATAGCATAGAAACTTCACTGTTTTTGGGGAGGGGGGTTATTGCTCATAATCAAAGCTAGAGGGGCAGCATCTAGGCACCAAGGCTGTAGAGCAGGCTGTCTCACTTGCTGGCAGTCAGACGGGCCATGCTGAAAGAAAATTGTTCAGGAAATAAACCCGAAAGAGTCAGGAGACAAAGGGGACTCCCAAGCCTTCTTTCACCTGTGCAGCTACCTAAGAGCAGTGATGTGTCCCAAATTAGTGTACATTACCTTACAGCAGCATTTACAAGCTAAGGAAAAACACTCTGCAAATGTGGCTAAATTGTTTGACATGCAAACACCAAAGCTGAAGAGTCCACGGTCATACCCAGCCCTGGGGCAGTGTTTTGATTAAATAGATTTAGAGAAATGTAGAAGGTGATGAGCAACAGGCTCTTGAAAATAGCAGTATGAGAATTTCATCAGAGGGTTCCTCTAATTTACTAACCTCAGGCACTAACCCCACAACCCTGGGACACAGTTTAATATCCTTTTGCACAGATAAATATCTCTTCACAGTTCTGACAAGCAGAGGTTTCTCTAAAACTGACTTTTTGTGCCTGGGTGTACCTCAGTCTCAATAGCCAGCTTCTGCATTCAGTTGAAACCATATCAGAAAAAATTCATACATCTGCACAGAGCTTCACAGGGCTCTGCAGAGAGATAAAAAGCCTGCCTTTATAAATGCAAGGAATGCATCTATGGCCTCCTCAAATCAATCCACTTACTCTCATTCATGCAGGATGCATAAAGGATCTTGGCCTTCTGTACAGCTTCACTGTCTCGTCTTTTGCTGATGGGTTTCTCTAGCAATGCTGAAAAAACAAATAATTTTTTTTCAAAATTTTGGAAAACATAGACACTGACTGTTTCAGCATTTGGTTTAATCATAGCATTTGTTTAATTAAGTATGAGGCTCCATGTGTGCCTTCTTAAGCAGTAGCACAGACATAATTGCACCTTCTTCAATCCCCAACAGAGAAGGATTTTTTTAAAATTTATATTAAAGAGAACTGATACAAAGCCAAATTACAGATGCAGCTTGTAACTTATCCTCACAACCAGCTACCCTCAGCAAACAGAGGTGATAGGCAGTCGTGGGGTGAGGCTGGGAACCAACACACAGAGCAGGGAGTCAGGAATTTTTTTCAAGTGGCTCAGCTTCTGTGCTGGTACATTATGAAATCAGGAACTGACAGAGGAGGTTACAACATCTAAGGAGCAGGCTGTAAATCGCACTTCCATGGCCAAGAGAGGCAGGTAACTCTTGAGCACAGCACAGGAACAGGGCTGGCACACTCTGTTGGACCTTGCCTGGTTTTGCAAGACTCCAGCAGGTCCTGCACAGCCTTACCTTATTGTTATGGGACCACGGGAAGGAAGGGTTTGCTGGTATCGAGTCCTTCCTGTTGTGTGCTCAGCCAGAGCTAAAAAGCCTTGAAAAATTCAAGACTCCCTTCCCTGCACCCAAGTACCACCCAGGGCTCTGGATTTCAAATGAGCAGAGGCAACACAGTGCAAGGGTGCTGAGAAGTGTTCCCCACACACAGAGGAGAACAGAGTGCAACACAAGAGTCCTGTGAATGCAGAGAACCACTGAGACTCCATAGCACTAGCCATGGCAAGACCAAACAGCTCCAAGAGCTGGATCAGAGTCAATGCAAGGTTATTCCTCTGCCAGGAGGGGCTGGGGACATGCAGAGTACTGCAGAGGTGGTGGTACTGCCACCCAAAAGCAGCACCCTCCTGGAATCAGTGGCAGCTGCTCACTGTCCAGCACAAGATTTCCACAGCACCCCGAGGAACCAGCCAGGCTGCACCTCTTAGATATTCCCCACCTGGACTCATGTGAGCACTCAGGGGACCATAATGCAGACCTCAGACTGTTTATTACTTTATTACTCAAGGAATATCATAGTGATAAATAAATGCCACTTTTTCTCCCCCTTTAATCCCTTTATTCCTTAAACAGACAAACAAAAAACCCCATTGCCCAATTCTTTTGCTTATACCCTTAAGAGATTTAATAAGATTGTTCCCTTTTAGTTATGAATAAGATTTTTCCATAAAAATACTTCTGGAGAGGATAGCTTTGATTTCAAATCCTCAAATATTTCCTAGTTTGTAAAATACAATATAATGCCAATCATCAATATATATGTTCAGTGTGCACAATTCTCAGCAGCATAATCAGACCTGCTCACATTTTTAAAATGGCATTTTAAAATAAATGATAAATGAATCCTCTATAAAACTAAGGATGAAAAACTACCCTCCCATTAAAGCCATTGCAACAATTTCTGTCTTTGCCAGTGAGCTGTACAACCATGAAATTTTGAAGCTAATAAAATTCAATGGCTAAAGCTCAAGAGAAAAACAGGTTATAAGAACCAATAAAATCAACTTTAGAGATTCAACTGCATCAAATTGTGTTAAAATCAGACCTGGTGTTTTCCCATCAAACCATGTCATTAATGTGACATCTACCCCACCTCACTACTGCAGAGAGTGAGGCAGGTAGATGTTGCCAATTTGTTTAGAATTATTTTAAGAAGACAATTCTCATTTCTCATAACATAAAATCCACTCATCAAACATGAAAGGCTTAATAAGATGCTTGAATCCTGTGGACACTGAAATAGGGGGTGTGATCCATGGATGATCTTTAGGCTATGGAGGTTTCCGAGCCTTAACCTCAAGTTTTCAGAAAGATTTAGAAGCTCAAACCTGGAGCACTGCTTGCATCCACGATTTCTATACTAGCTAGTGTAAAATCGAAATATGTGATTTAGAAATTTGCTTATTATTTAGCTCACAAATTTATATGGATTTTACATGCCCTTGAGTATTTAAATTCTTAAAGATGAATAGCAAGAAAAGGCAAGAATAGCAAGAAAAGGCAAGAAGCACAGCATACTGACCAAAGATATATGTAATCAATTAGTCTGCCTAGAGGTTGTTTATTCATGGAAAGAAAGTCACTACTGTGATTGAAATCAATGTAGGCCCACCAAGCTCTCTTTAAATTAGCAATATTGGGTCCTGTGAGGACTTCAGCTGCAGGCTCTGACAATCCCACTGCACCCATACCCGCTGGTGTGGGTCGGTGCATGCTGCTCTCCACAGGGCAGCTCCTGGGAGGGCAGCAGCTCAGCCTCGGCTCTCCCAGGATTCTGCAAGCTGAACAAACCTGCCCCAGGGCCAGCCCACACTCTCTGAGCAGTGCTTCCCCTCCTCACACATGGCATGGATTTCAGACTCTCATCCACAGCAAGGGAAACGCCAGCCAGCAACACATGGAGAGCAAATTCAGTCCCTCTGAAAAAATTCACCTGAACTATAGCTGTCCGGGAGAATTGTCTTTCCACTTTGAAAAACTGTAATAGCTTCAGATATTTTCTGTTTTGACACCAAAATGTAAGCAAAACCTATATTGTTTTTCTAGGGATAGGAAGAGAAATACCACCAAAGACCAGTTAATGTTGTGCCTCATAAGATACCACAGATTTGCTATTTAGGTTTTACTTTGTCTTTCCAAGCTCCAACTCTCATGCCTCACTAAGGAATTGTGTGTATTCATACAAATCCACTGAGAAGTTCAGTCTGATAGGCTTTCCTTAAGCACAGTTTTCTTAAGCTTTGACCTAATTAGCAAGATGAGGATTACCAACATTTTGACTAAAACAGCTCACTTAGCACTGAGAAGGACATTGAGCTTGTTCTTGGAGCTGTCTTGCTTGCTCGCTTTCTGTTTTCTTGTTTCAAACTAAAAGTTCTAATTCCTTAAAGCAATCTTCCATTTTAGGATACCAAACTTTTATCTCTAAAGAATTGTTAGGAATAAATAGTTTTGATCAGTTTAGATTAGGAAATACACATCACTCCAACAATATTGAAAATACACCCTTAAAACAATAGCTCATTTTCAGCTCTCAATTGAATGATACAGCACTAGTTACAGAATAGCAATCAGTCTGTAGAGGTTAAAAAGAAACCACAATCTAAGCTGACTTCCAGGCATCTGAAAGAGCACAGAATTGTTATTAGCATCAACCAAAATTTAACAATTTATTGCTGCTACCAAGTTACACCACTAGCCTGCCTGCAAAGCAGAATATCCTAACCAAAAATCACCAGGACAAACAACGTGAACCAGCATAGCTTAAGCCAGCTGAATACACAGTTTGGATCCCATTTCCTTAGCCAAGTATATATTTGAATGGCTTTTTTAGCGAAACAGCTCTTTTTCAGTTTCATCTTTCACTTTCTTCACTTTTAAATTATTTCCAAAGTAATTCTCTTTGGGATAAAAAAATATCTTGGCCTCTATCACTGACCTCAGCACCTCATTGTTCATGTTTCCATATGCACAGAATGCTCAAATGCAAGATTTATGTTTCCCTTCTCATAAAACTTAGTTATGGCAAGTGTCAAGACCTATGGGCAATTGCACTCCACCGTGCTGTAATAACATATCTCATTAAGCAGCTACCACTTGCACAGTCAGAAACTGGCTAAAGGTGTTCACAATATCCTAAGATTTCTGAGGTTGCAAATGGCTTCATCATTCACTTTCTTGTACCAAGGAGCTGAGGGTGCAGAAGTTCCCACTGCAGTCAACTTTCCTGAACGTCTGTCACCCCAGGCCAGGCAGGTTTGCATCATTGCACTCCCTGACTCTCATACCGACACAAAGACTCAGCATCACCAGCAAAAAACCACTCCATAGCTGGGAGTGATCTTCACTTCTTCACTTGTCTGAATTGGATAGTCCCAGATATCATCAAGGAAAAAAAGGCACAGCTGGGGGTGGGGAGCTGGGAAGGAAAGGAAGAGAGTTTATATTGAGTTGCCTTCACATGGTTCTTTTTCAGGGCAAGAGGGCTAAAAAAGGCCAGCTTCCTGTGGTTCACTACCCTCGAGTAAATAGCAATCATCTGCTGTTAGAAGTAAGAGCAAGGCACATTGCAAAGTAAGCTCTGCATGTGTGTTTATTTAACTGCATACTATTCTAAAGCTGCTAAGGATAGTCTTGTGGCTAAGTGTTACCTTTAATCTCACTTTCCGTTTCCAGCCCTTGTTGATTTTCCAGCCCACTGTCTTGCACAGCTTCACTTTGGTTTTCAACCACCATATTTTATTTATGGCACCAAGAAATCATGTACCTTTCCTTCTTCTGACTTGAACTGCATGAAAAAGGATTGTAGAGCCAGATTTGAAGAGAAAAGAAGCATGCACACCATTTATTCAGATTAGAAACACTGAATCAATGTATCAGTGTCCTGATCAGATTGTATATATAGTGTACCCTTTCAGACAGTTTTCTATATATATATAGTTGTGCTAAAATCCCGAGAAATACTATGTTATTCATGAGGCTTATTTCCTTTTCTAGTGAGAAAAATAAAAGTTTTCTCTGCACTTTACGACCCTAGATATAGAGAAATCATTGTGCTAGTAAAGAGAGTAGCGTTTTCTCCATTAGTTTTTGTCCTTATCCTTTTACAAACATTTGCTCTGTGTGGAAAATGCAAGCTCAAGTGTTCACGCAGTGATATCTGACAATGATCTGAAATATATTACAATGCTTTGTATCTTGAAGAAAAACAACTCCATGTGCAAATATCCCCTGAGGAATATGCTTGGACTGTAAACAAAACAAAAATTATACAAAAACCCCAAGGGACATCCCATTTCCTGGAAAGTTGTAACCCTGGAGGAGTGAAAAGCTAGAAACAGACAAATAATTCAGCCTGAACTCCCAGGGCAATGCTAGAACAGACAGGAGTCTTGGACTGCAAAACCAGAGGAGTTT